TACTCTGTTATATGCCAGTAGTGCAGGTAAAAACTCCAGTATAGTCCATTGGCATATGGATCAGAGGCCAAATTCCTTGCTGCTGTTTACTGGGACAGCTCAACCAGTTAACTTCAAATAACTGGTGCTATTTCATTCCAGAAAAGAGTCTTCCCCAAGAGTATACTAACACTTTTGATCATAAACAATAAAAGGACAGTAATTGTCAAACTCAAATGGACTAACACATTAGGCTTCTGTTGCTCAGAAGCAGCAAAAGCTGTTCAGCTACTGTGAAAAATCAGAAAACACCACAACAAAACCCAACCCACTTCAGTGTTGTCAAAATAAGTCTGTATATGACGGTTTCAAAATAGAACTTATTCATTTCTAAGTACATACAAGGCTAAGTATTATGGATGGCAGGACTTAACAATGCTTTTCTGGAAGATTCTCATGAGGAAGGCAAATGTTACACTCCTTACATTCTGACTTACACAAGGAGGTCCACTGAAATGACTGGGACCATTCACCTCACCATGAAGTGACCTACACCTGCAAAGATTAGAAACCTCAACCATCCTAAATGGTAGCTGATGTTACACTTATATTTTGCACACATAACATGAGTTACACCAAGAGATTTTCAACAATAGCAAGAGGTGGATAAGAGAGCATAACACAGTACTGCTGTAGGCCTGGATTTGTGGCACATATTTAATTATTATTCTGAAGGAGAGGTCATGACCAACTGCTAATTAAGTTAGAAGAAAGCTGTTAGGAAATTTTGAGGGACCTCTGATTCAAATGGGAACTGCAATGGCAGGGAAAATGCCAGGCTGTCAATTAAATGTCTGGTGACAGAGTAGAGTAAGAGGAACTTCTCATGCAGATTGCTAGATCTTAAAATAGCTATTAACACTCAAGAAAAAAAAATCACAAGTTTCATGTGAACAAGTCCTTCTCTAAAACAAGCACACATTTGCTCAAAAAACAGCAACATCATCCTCAAAAAATATTAAGGCAGTACTGGAATTACGACTTCTATAACTTTCTGGAATGGTGTATTCTTGGTAGGTACTTAACACACTGTGCCAAGAAGAAGAAAGAGATTAGAAATAAAAAAAGAACAAAAAGAGGGAAATGATAGCTGAAAAATATCAAGGCAGTTTTCAGGAAAACTTGTCCAGAAGACAGAGATATACTAAAGAATGACAAAACAGAAGTCCTTTTCTACATAACCATTTCACAGAAAACTCACTTTTATTCTGCTGTAATTCTGTAAAGATCTCTTCTTCTCAAAAGTTTCTACTGTAATTGGTGCAGAAGATTAAAAGAAAATGGCACCAATATTTTCAGTGAGATAATAAGAAGAAACACAATAACTATACAATAGTATGGAGAATGTAAATTACAATACTTTCAACAGAGCGTAATTAAACTGTATTAAAATATTGCTGTGAACTGCAATAAATGTACCTATAAGCCATATTTAAGTGAAGACAGTGAACACAACATATTTTTTCTGCTCGGATTAACAGCTCTATGAGATGTTAACATGGGTGTGAATTCAAACTCCCAAACAGAAAGAAACTCAAGCCATTTCATTCTGCAGCAGTCTGCAAAAGAATAGCAGTTCTTGTGTGAAATGAGCCTAAGAGGAGAATCTTAGTACCCTATACTAGTAAGAGAAGAAATCTTATTTCTTTAAATGGGTTCTTGGTCAAGAGAAAATTTGGGCTACATACAAATTTACATGTCAGAATATGAAAAGTGTCACCAGAAAATGCTTGTCCAGTGGCTGCTGAAGCTCCTTTCTCACTTTATCTTTGAAGTCCCACAGACAACTCCACCTCAACAACAACGTCCTCAACTCAAATTCAGGAGCCCCTGTAACCCTGAAACAATACCTAAACCTCCAGGTCTGATGTGTTCAGCATATACCTAACAGGTACAGGCAGATTTGCACCCCTCAGAAAATATCCTTGCTTTCCGGGGCATGGTTGGAAGAGGTTGTACCCTGTACTACACAAGCACACAGCTGAAGCACTCAATGGAGAGTGTGATCTCGTTACTATGCTCTCCTTACTCTGAGGGGGCATGGACAAGCCCTTTCCAGCAGAAATACAAGCCGGTCTGGAAAACAGGAATTGGGAGTGGTCCACTAGTCCCACAACATCCCTGCCAGAGCAAAGCTGCAGATTTCATGCAGGTGGCAGAAAGCCTTGTGAGAGGACAGCGTAGTCCAGTGGCTAGGCAACTTGGCAAGGGACGAGCCCTCAGTTTCACACAAGCAATGAGATTCCGCGTATCTGTCAGGCTGCAATGGCAACCACAAAGCCTGATGAGTCCTTAAAAAAACCCTGCCATGGAACCTACCTCCAGAGAAGAGCCTGGACTCTGCAGCCTGTAGGCACTGGGCTGTGCTCAGCTTTTGTTTTGCTATGGGCTATTTCAAGACAGTTTCTGCTGCGTTTGCAGGTTTCCACCCAATTCTGGCATGCACTACAGAGGGAGATTGTGTGTCCCAGCCCCATGTCTTTATTGAGCCTTCCTGGGACTGGCTGCTGAAGACACCTGTTTCAGCCTTAAATATGACAGCAGAGAATCACAGAGACTACATCCTGCCCTTCGTTCTTACACGTAAAGCATTTCAGGCCCAACACTATAAACACTTTACAATTCTCCCACCCACTGCAGCGGGAAGTATGTTGTATCTTCTATATTTTGATTTAACTCTCCTTTTTACCTTGTAGCTGAGGACAAAAATGTTCCCCTTGTGATAAATTTCCTTACCAAAAGATTACAGACACTAACAACAATGAAGGGAAGAAAAAACACTAGAAGAAAAGAAGCCCATTACTTAGGCAAAATAATGGAAACCATAAATCACTGCAGTGACAGGATTAAATGTGAAACCTTTAATTATACATCAAATCATTTACCAGCTTCTTATGTTATTTGCAGTATTGTTCATGTAGCTTGAATAAGATTTGAGTTTGAGAATGATTCTATTTTACATGTGAAATAGAAATAGTTTTAAGAATAAAAATAATGTTAACTTTAATCCTTAGCTAAATTAAGACCTTTACTGAACATCTTTATTGTTTTCAGTCAAACCCACCCTCACTTCATGGCATTGCTGTGTCAATACACATCAAGCCCATCCCCATTGCACATACATTATATAAAATGAAGCAGAACTAAGGGGGAAACAAGTGGCAGTTCAGAAAGTACAAGAGAGTGTAATTACATTGTTGAGGGAGATGTGTTATTTATGAAGTATGGGCAAACCTGTGCCCACAGGCTGTATCTGTTCCACTGCTTTTTCCATAAGGAGGCAAGAAGCAGCTGCTAGAAAAGTGACTTCTCAGCCCCTAAACACCTTCTCCCATGGATTCCAGAGTCCAGCAACAGAGAACAGGGCTGTTGCTGCTGTTGCCACTGGGTTCAGATTGGACAAGGGAATAATAACCTGATTTCTGTAGAAATTCTGTGCACAAGCATAATCTTCCAGCATACTCAGAACAGAACTTACTGAAAACAAACAAACAAATAAACCTCAAACCAAAACAAAATGCAAAAATAGCAAAATTCTCCTCTTCTAACTGGAGAGTAAGGCAAAGTGCAGGCAGCCTTCGTGTTTACATAAATCCCCTCAAAAGACATGCAGTAGGAAAAAGCAGACTTTCATCAAAGTCAAAACAATGCTTGTACGTTATGAAAACCAGCCTAAAATACAAAACACATCATCTAGTAGCAATTGTAAAGGCACTATTATACTGCCAGGTATTGCATTGCATATCAGAGAGCTGTTGGCAGGAAAGTACCTGTCCTCTGGAGTACCCTTTGTTTTGTTCTATCGTGTTGCAGGCTCTGGCAAATTGCCTTAAGGTTCCTAGCTGGGGCGGGCTGTCACACAGCGAAAACCATAATTCAGCTGCTCTATGTTTCCTTTTAAGCAAGAAGTGTCCATCGGGCCTAGGTTGAAGGGAAGATTGATTCTCTCATTCAGCTCATGCTTTTGCCCTGGCACATGAGACAGAAGCAGGTGCCAATGTTTAGGGTGCAGAAATGGGAAGGATCAAATACAGTGGGGAAGCACACAGTGGCAGTTTCGGTCAGCCCAGTAGACGAAGGCAACATTTTTAGTATGCCTTTTGTAGAGACACAAACCACCAGATGGAGGACTCCAAGTTAATCTTCAGCTTTTGTTTGGATTTTCTGCCATGTCATCTGTTTTGATGGGATTATCTTTTTGAAAAATAAGTCATCTTCTGTATCTGGGACTTTTAAATCTGTTGGATTGGCTTGTTGGTACGTGACAGACCTCCTGGATCACTGCTACAAATGGCAGGAAATGCTCCAAACTCTGCTGTGGTCTCTGCCTTTACCACTTTTTTGAACAGGCAAACCCAGAAAGAAAAGAGGACCATATAATTAAGTTCTAACTGTCACGTAAGTCAACTACACATTTGATCCTCAGCTTGGTAATTTTTTTCCCTTGTATTTTGTATTCAAGAAAATATTGCCTCAGGAAAGCAGGGAACACAGCCCCAGGTCTGTAGAAGTCTAAGTACAGTCAGCACTAGGAATATTAGTTTTCTTCCTTTCTTTCCTCTTTTGGATTTATTTTTGAACCATGAGTAGTTTGGACTGATTTGGCAATATTTAGATATTTCTGTTTCATGCAGCCACTTTGAAAAGAACCTTAACAATACAACATGCAAAAATTGGAAAATCACATGAAAAAATAAAAAGGCGAAAAAACATAATCCCATGACGCAGAACTGCCTATTCTGTTAAATCCATGTTCAAGGCTTAAACTGAAAATATAGGTCTCTGGATGAATACTTCTGAACACATGGGGCACCCGTGTCAGAGACCTGGAAACAGGAGATATTTCTATTACATTTTCCTCAACAATTACTGGAAAGGAAATTCCTGAAGCAATGCTCAAAGCACAGTCCCTCATTATGTACCTGACAACATGAGACTGCGATGCCAGGACATTTACTCACCCTGCCAGCAAGGTGATCTGTAGGTCTTTGGAGTTGTTTTTCTCTTTATTTCTTCTAGTCCACTCATGCATCAGATCCCTTAGAGATATGGAAGAGCCAAGTGAATTCACCTTTCTTGCTCTTGGTGTAAAATGGTCTCCTGTGACAAAGAGCATATAGAGAACAATGTAGCATATGAAGGCACTGGAACAATAATTTCCAATCGTACTATAATTCAAGGTTTTTCTATCTCCTGCCATCAACAGTAGTCAGTGCTGAGGAATAAAATCCCCAAGAGATGGTTTCCATATAAGCAGCCTGGGGAATCTTTGCGTAGTAAGCGCCAGAAACTGTTATGCTGCCCTAAATAGTTGCAGAGAAACAGTATTTGTAGGGGAGTTTCCAGTATTTTACTCAATAGTATCATATCAATCAATTCTATTAGTTAACTGAGTACATTTCAGATAAGATTTTCTTTCATCAGTATTAAACGCATTTATTTTTACAGTTTTTATCCTATTGGTTAGGTACTACAGCAATGACCACGATCCTTTCCCAAATTCTCCTTCAATCCCACCATTCTATGCATATTCTCTTTCCTGTACCTTCTCTAAACTATCTTTTCCACTTGTTTTCACTCCAGAATGTCTTCCTTAAGGATTATTCACTGGTTTTGTGCTTCTTGAATGCCTATAGACTTTTTAAGGATGAGCTGTTCAGACCTAAATACATTTCAAAATGGTGACCAAGTATTTCTGTTTCCCTCTTTTCCTCCCTGTACCACCAAGTGAGCTGTGGGAGACCAGTTCAAAGTCAAGCATGATAACCATCTATGGCCCTTTTCTGCTCCATTTCCTGGTGAAAGTGCATCTGGTAAAAAAGCGGAAGAGGAGAATTCAGAATGCACACACAAATCACATTTTCTATGACTATTGGGCTGCCGTGGGTCAGGTGGAGAAAGGCAAACACACAAACTCCCAAACATACTGCACTTAAGAACGTTATTAAAAACAGAAATGGAATCATGTCTAGCTTTGAGGATTTCAGGGCTTCCCTGAATAATTTTTCTGATTTGTCAGCTGAATAGCTAGGAGACTGGAATAACTCGGAAACCAACAAAGAACTGGTAGTTATTTTAATTGCCACACAAAGCCTGAAATACTTTCACTAGGGGTAAGTTTGTAGATGAAATTTGAAACTTCTCTTCATAGATTTTTCTATTGAAGGCCATGAGTATCAACAACTATCATCTCACTTTTGACCAGTTATAAAGCTCCTCTAAATAAAGTCTCCTATATGGCATCTTGTCATTGATTACTACTTAAGTGTAACCAACAATGCAGACACAGGAAATTCTTAAAATAAACAGCAGTATTCTCTGCTTACAGCACTCAGAGTCAAGAGTTTTGTACTTTTAAGATATGCATTGTAATTGATAATTGGGCAAATTATTACTCTTTAGATGAACACAACTACTATATCAAAATACAGTGTAACTATGACAACAGTAATTCATAGTTTACCACTCTTACACTAAGAAAATTAAATAATTTTGCTGAATTATTTCTTAATAACAGAAATTTGAAAAATTCCAAGAGGCAGTGTAACATTTACTTTATTAGGACTAGCCCAATATCTTCTATAATATTGTAAATACATCAATATCTCTTTCCTGGATAAAACCAGACAATACAACTGGAAAATACAGTGCCTATTAGCGAACACATGGTGGCTGTTCTAAAGTTCTGTCAAATTAAAAAAAAAAAAAGAAAAAAAAAGAAGAAAAAAAAAGCCAGGAGAAAAGGCAAAATACTTGGCAACTTCTAAACAAACACTTAAAAAACTCCGTAGTAAGTTTGCTCACATACAAATGAATAATCATGCTAAAAAATGAAACCCTGTGGAAATACAATGTGCTGATATCGCTCAGATTACACTGCTACATCTTTCTGTAAAACATTAGAAGATGTTAAGATGGAAGCGTGGGAAGTAAGGAGGATGAACTGAAAAATATAAACCAAACATCTGCATTATTTACTTTTTTTTTTTTTTGACAGCCCAAACTGAAATGTACCTCCTGAAAAATAAGACAGCAAAATGGTCCAGAAGAGCAAGCTGCTTGTTGAGGGCAGGCTCCCCAGTGCACAGGGACTCCCCAGCTTGCCATGTGGAAAGTCATGCAGGCACAGCAGAAAGGCAGCATGGACAGACAGAGGATAAAGAAGCTGGAAGTGTTACTCGCGATCAGTGCAGAACTTCTTTGTTTTGGCCTGCTTGGATGAAACTGGGAAAGCCAGACCTCAGCTGGGCTTGAAACTGGTGAGGGACATGAGAAGCAACCAGATAAACTTCTAAGGGAACAGCAGCAGCAAAAGAAAGACTGAGTAACAGGTAGCTGGGAGAGCTGGTGAATCTCCATCCTTATAAACACACCAAACTCAACCAAACAAGGCCCTGAGCAACACTAAGTTTCCCTTGCTTGGACTAGAACACTGTTGATATCCTCTAGAAGTCTGATCTGATCACGATTCTCTGATTCTATAAAATACTCACTTTGCCTGCAGTTTTCTTCCCTCTGAATAAAAGAAGGGCAGAAGTAAGAAGGAAAAAGAGGGAAAAATATAAAAGAGTAAAATTTTGGCTTGTATTTAATACTTTCCTGAATGAAGAGATGCTGAATTTGATAGAAAATACTTTGAACTGTGTAAAACTGTTAGACCACTACTAATCGCACTTTTGCATTTTATCTTTCTCATTCTACTACGTGATTTTGTAAGCAATTCACCTTCTTCTGGTTGTTGTTTTTTTTTTTTTTTTCTCTTTTACTGAATTAATGCAGACTGATAAAAGAAGAATAACTGATGACCAAGTTCTCATCAGAGTCTTGACTGATCTAGATAAGCTTCAAATCTAGGTAGGTTATAGGATTCATTAGCAGTTTGGTAAGTAGCTTTCTGTGTGCTGCATACTGGCAGTTCACAAGCTATAATAAATGGGAATATATAGGACATGGAAATTTTGAGTCCAGTCTTCACAAGAGGACTTACAGGGGCCTCTCTTTTCACTTATGTTTCTGTGGGCAGAAAGCCTCACTGTACCATGGGATGGCACCAGAGTGTAGGCACTATCATTTTTCCAGGTACATTCTCTATCTGTTTCTCCCTCTTTGCCTCTTCATGTTTACCCAAGAAAAACAAGAATTTAGCACTACACACTTTTCAAGCCTGAGTAAGTAGCTTAATTATTCAGACAAAATACTATTGATCTGAAAGTGTCTGAACAAATGAAATTCAGGCTTGCTGACCTCATTGAGAAGGACAGCCAGCCTTCTCGGGGAATTTCCAATTGTGTTACTTACAGTTCTTGTTCCCTTCTTTTATTTCAGGGGCATTTGATACAATACAGCGCAACTTTGGGTATTGTGCACACACAGCTTCTTTTGAAATCAGAGGAGACTTTACTTAAGATGCAGACTTTTGCTCTGAATTCAAGAGCAATCTATGTGCACCCAAAGATGATATGAGAACCAGGAAGGCTGTCAGAAGTGATAAAAAAAAGAAAATGACAGACTTAATCAATCATCCCCTAAAATGAACAGGACCATATACATCTATGAATGTGTTACCCTTAAACATGAAGTAAATCTCACACTCCATCGCTAAATACCATAAATTTAAGTATCTCTAATGTCATTACATAGCATAATTTTCCAACAAAAAGTGCCTTTTTTAATTGAGTCTCTCCAAGTATAAGCATTTAGACAATGGACAATCATCTTCCCCAGTATTCGCTTTGATCACAGTAGGCATGCTACAAAAAAAGACCCTATATGCTACATTTACTAAATTTAGGTAGGAAGCAATTTCCCAGGATATAAATGGACTGTATTACTCAGTATGTAATTTGTTATGATAGTTGAACACGAAAGAGTTGCAGACCCAACAAATACCCAAAATGGCTACCCGAAAAACCCTAAAATTAAGTTCTTGACAGATAATAACTAATGCTGTACACCCCTACTCTTTATGTTATGAACAATATGTACACTATATTTATGCAGAAGAAATCAGTATTTAAAACTCTCACATTTATCATAAAAATAGATTTTATTACAGAAAACAGTGCCATCCCATAAGAGATTTACAATTGATTAAAAAGGATGGCTTGTCCTAAAACACTTACATGATTGCATGCAAAGAAAACAGATGGTCTGTGTAACAGTAATTTGATTTCTTCCAGTAAACATTACTCATGATATAGAAAATGCTTATGTTGATCTCTTCCAGGATGATATGTGCGCTTTGCATCTCTCTTTAAATGAAGCCTGTAATTCTGTTCAAGAAACATCACAGCAGCTCTGGTTTCCCAACAAATCAAATAAAATCAGGTAGTCTAATGCATCATTCCTCACTTAAGAGGCTGACAACATAAGGATTGATTTTAACTTTTCACTCTCACAAAAGTGCTTAACATAAAGCCATGCTTCCTTCTCATTTACTCCTTTTGTAATGCTTCTTTATACAAAAAAAACCCAAAACCATTTCTACCTTCATCTCTGCCTAAGAGAAGTAGCATAAGTCGAAATACAATGCCTATTCTGATTTAATCTAACATTCTTCTCTTTAACACTGCTGCAGGTATATAAGAAGGAAAAAAATAAAAAAGACTTACTGATAAGTCTCCATCTGTTCACCTCAAATTTTGTTTTATATCTTGAGTCATACCAAGAATGCTGTTCAGGGAACTTCAGCACCCACATTTCCCTGAAATAAAGTTTTATTCTTCCCAAACACTGGATAAAATGCCCTCTGCCTTTGTTAGGTGAACAACCCTCTTAAGGTCACCTAAATCACTGAGGTTCTTGGGAATGAACTGTGGATGGGAACTCTGACACTTGTTCCCACAGGATGACAGCCTGAGCTGACAAAGGATTCATGTTGCCTTTTACAGATTTTTTTCACAGGATGAATACAGGCGGATTTTTCTCAAAGGCACAATTTAACCCCTAAGAATGTACCCTTAAATCTGGCCCTAATTTTTACAGGGGATTCACACCAGGGTGTGTTCCATCATCTGCAAGTAATAATATTCCTGCTGGGATGTAACCCTATTTGTCATTTTCTTGTCTTGTTTGATTACTGTCGCTTCACCTGGCTGGCC